CCTTTCCCTGCCATGCCCACCAAGCCACGCCCACAGAACCAATAGAAAAAAAATTGAATCCCACCACTGTTGGGGACCCTTATCCTAGGCAACATCTCTTTTCCTCTTTCCTCAAAGCCACCCACCATGCCTTCTATTACATCAGTCCAGATAGGAAGCTTGACTTTTAAGTGGAGGCAGTCCTCGACTTACAACAATGACCATTCAAAGATACAAGGGCACTAAAAAAAGGTGACTTATGACCGTGTTTCAGACTTATGAGTGTTGCAGCATTTCCGTGGTGACATGATTAAAATTCAGGCTGTTGGCGACTGACTCACATTTATGACAGTTGCAATGTCCCGGGGCCGTGTGATCGCCTTTTGTGACATGTCAAGCAAAGTCAATGGGGAAGCCGGGTTCTCTTAACATCCAGGGTTGCTAATTTAACAACTGCAAATGACTCACTTAACAGCCATGGCAAGAAAAGTTTGTAAAATGGGGCATGACCCAATGAACAAATTTCTCACTTAGCCACGTAAATTTTGGGCTCAATTGTGGTTGTAAGTCGAGGACTTACCTGTAATGGACAATAAGTTCTTAGTTGAGACTATCCATCCCTTCAAGACGTTTGAACATCTGAATGTTCTTTCTTGCTAGGTGACCACGTGACAGCCAAAGGCCTGGCAGAAAATAAACCACGGAGTGACCTTGGGGCAGGAGAAGTCGGTGGTGTGTTACCACGCAGCTCTGACAGAGATGGTTCTCTACAGCCCAGGGTAGTTTTCAAAAGCGGAAATGCTTGAGGAAAAAAAGGACTGAATCCGGTTAGTAGGATTGACGGACTTCACGTAAAAACCCAAACCATCCTATTAGGCTTTATACAATTTATACAATAGCAGAGTTGGAAGGGACCTTGGAGGTCTCCTAGTCCAACCCCCTGCCTAGGCAGGAAACCCTACACCACTTCAGACAAATGGCTATCCAACATCTTCTTTAAGACTTCCTGTGATGGGGCATTCACAACTTCTGGAGGCAAGCTATTCCACTGATTAATTGTTCTAACTGTCAGGAAATTGCTCCTCAGTTCTAAGTTGCTTCTCTCCTTGATTAGTTTCCACCCATTGCTTCTTGTTCT